TTTTGAGACAGAGTCTCGCTCTGTCACCCAGGTTGGAGTGCAGTGGCACAATCTTGACTGACTGCAACCTCTGCCTCCTGGGTTCAAGAGGTTTTCCTGCCTCAGCCTACCAAGTAGCTGGGACTACAGGCATGCGCCACCACGCCCGGCTAATTTTTGTATTTTTTTGTTGAGATGGTTTTTCACCTTGTTGGTCAGGCTGGTCTCAAACTCCTGACCTCAGATGATCCACCTCTCTCGGCCTTCCAAAGTGCTGGGGTTACAGGTGTGAGCCACCGCACATGGCCAAATTCTTATATATTCTCCCCCGCATACAAATATGTTAATGTTAAATGTAGTCATAAGAATTCTGTATGTTCAAAAACACTCTGACCTTATGATTTTTATATCCTCAGGTCTCCCCTCTCTCTGCTACTCACTTTATTTATTTTCAGAAGTAGGAATTAGGAACAGAGACAAACACAACAGTCCTCAACACGAAAGCTTCTTTCTTATGAAGACAAAACAAAGCTAGTCAACTAAAACTAAATAAATAAAAGAAAAAAATAATCCAACAACTTGGTTATTGACAAATTCATCATTTGGCAATTGTTCTGGAGCAGGCACATGGACTGTTTTTTAAGTATATTAAAGGAAAGGAGGATGGGGGTGGGAGGAAAAAGAAAGGAATAAAGAAAGGAAACCACGTGGTCTCAGCCATTTAATAAATACCCATCAAGTGCAAATCCATGCCCTCAAAATGTGGTAATTACTTATTCCATTGCCTTTATCAAATTACTTATTCCATTGCCTTTACCATATCAAATGGTATGGTAATTACTTATTCCATTGCCTTTATCAAATAGTAATGAGTGACACAATGTTGCCTATAAACAGGAATAAAAAAGAATAAATGGAAGAGAGGTGTATAGGACTGTTACTCACCATGGGCATTTTACTTTTACATCTGAATTTTGAACTATCTAAAACCTAAAAATGTTCAATAGTGGGCTGATGATATGAACGTCAAAAGAGTAATATTATCTGTAGCCAGAAATCATAAAGCTCCATGTAAGGCAACTGCAAGTGAAATAGCTGGCAACATGTAATCCAGTATCTAATTCTGGGTTATACTAGAATTCATCTTTAAGTTTTTCTTTCTGGTGATACAAAACAACACCCACCAAAGATAACTCAGATATAATCCAGGTTATATTCCAAGGTAATGAGATTTGGTAATATACTACATAAGTATTTCATCATTGGAATTGCAATATTTCCCCAACCCAAATGTTCCTATTAAACCCACCAGGGAAGGCTACTGTAAATTTTAAAGGAAGAATTGAGTACTTTTCTATTGGTATGTGAAAATTTTCACCTAATTCAGCACATAATCAACAAATCCAACCAGAGTCACAACCTATTTGGTAAAATATCACTATCTGAAAAAAAAGTTACCATCACAAATTAAAATGTCTTTGCAACTTTAGCAGAGTAAGCATCTTTTAACAACTCTGGTATCCATTAAATTGTCAACAGAAATAAAACATGTACACAGATAGGAGCACTTAAAAATCCCATTCACAAACTAACAATTTATAAAGAGCTGTAGTAATCCTTACTATTACCTTTAATGTATTAAGATACAAAATAAATAATTACTGGATTCTTCAAATGATTTAATGCAATCAATATCATATGTTTTGCTTTTTTAAAATTATTTCCAAGTTTTGGGGGGAAATTTCAGAAGAACACACACCAATGTTTTATTGTTGGCATAATTTCAAATATTAAGTGCACACATTAAGCAAGTAGGCTGTGTGCCAAAATTCTGTGTGTAAATCAGCTGTTCAGAACACAGACAGCATTAACTCCGGAGCAGCACTACCAATGCAGCAATCATTGTTCAATCAACCCCTCAAAATCCTACTTGGCATATAGCATCATACAACCTAAGCATTATCCCAGAGTACCACCTCCTGGAAACAGAGAGTGGGCTATTTCCTCCTGTCTCGGGATTGTGGAAGCAGCCTTGGACCAGTTTTGAAATATTGTCAAGGTTCTGCAGAAAACTTGCTAACGCTTGGAGCCTGCACAACTGAAGGCCCCCTCTCACAGTCCCTCTTTTCAAGAAGGGACTTGACCACTCCTGCTCTGAATCCCCAGAGCTTTGTTTTACTTATTTTTCCCACAACAACCTTAGTAGTATGGACAGCACGGGAAATATATCAAATATAATTAGTTTCTATAGGTTGGCCATTTATACATTAATTACATTTAGTGTCCATTTTTAATTTAAAATATATATATAAATTAATGTTTACTTCATGTTTTATAACTTTTGTCTGCTAAACCCTCTCCCAACCACTAATTCAGAACTTTATATAGTAGATGCTCAGTTAATTTGTATTAAACAGATAGATACCAGCTTCTGTTGCTAGAAATATATAATTATGTTTGGCTGACAGATTAGACACCAGGCCAGTTACCTTTTCCCCTAAACCAATGTCTGCAGAGTCTTTCTAACGCTCGGGCCAATCCCGTTGCTTTATATTTTACAGGGGAGCTTGCTTTACCCCAGGGCATAAACTTCACAGCTCGTGAAATAAATGAACTTATGCTGACACTGATAGGCTGGCGGTGGGAGGAGGGAAGAAGGAAAGCGTGCAGTTCTGGGTTGCACGAGGAGATTAATCAGATGATGTGTTTGTATTGGGCCACAGGAGGGAGCCAGACACTTTGGTAAGCAGCAGCAACCAACCGGAGCAGCACCACACTGTCCCACCCACTTTGGGGGCCCTTTAGGAAAAAGCTTCCCCAGAAACAAACCACGAAAAACCAGAGTTCCTAGACATATCTAGGTTTCCTAAGCTTTTCATCTAGACTATTGCCCGTTTTAGGTTATAACTGTTGCTATGTGTTCTCTAGCTATTTGGGCTAACAAAACCAAATTAGTGGTAAAAACCTGACATGGATTTGGGGGTTCTGGGTAACCAGACACGCTGTACTGTATCAGGCAAGGATTTAACAATGCAACTTATATTTATGAGACTATTTATAGCTGCATATGTACTGTCTTCATAAGGTAATCTTATAAGTTAAGTATAGAACAAAATTTCAGGCAAGGGAACTGGCCCAGAGAATTCTCCCTGTGTTTTGAAAAGAGGTATCAGTTTGTAATTTTTTATCATTGTTGTGAATTTAATAAAATATGAGAGTTTATGAAAAACCATGCAATCCAAACCTAAATAAGTATATGACAAACACAAGCTAACCAAAGAAATACAGAACTTAAATTTGTTGGCTTTGGTTTTTTGTTTGTTTATTTGTTTTGCTTTGCTTTGCTTTGCCTTTAACCTAACTGATCAGCTGACACTCATAAAATTCCTCAGGTACCCTGGGGCTGAATTTTGGGTTACTGAGTACTTTAGTTGACCATAAGAAAAAACACATCCTAACTCTTAAAAACTAAACATCTGTCTCTAATGGCCCAGTGTTTAAGTCTCAGTGACCATGATGCCCAGGACAGAGAGCTCCTTTCCAACTGGCTTCGCAAGGATTGCAATAAGGCTCCCCACCCCACCTTTATACCACCTGCAAGCTACAACTGCAGGAGGCTAGAGAAAGCACACTTGGACCCCAACCAAGTGCACAGAAAAGCTTCAACACTCCCTATAGAGGCAACTCAACATTGCACAGATTCCTGCTCGGTGTTTTTTGTTTTGTTTTGTTTGTTTTCTGCATTGGTCATTAATACTGTGAAAGTTTTCATAGAAATGTGATCACCTTTACCTTCTTAATTAATTCTCCATTGTTTGCTATGACAGTGACCATACTGGGGCATCAAATAATTCAGGTACCAAAGAAGGCATATCTATCCCTTTTTAAGTGTTAACTGAGATTATGCCTTTAAAAGGGCACAACTGTTTTTTTAAAGGTAAGTAAATAAGAAAAAGGACATCAGAAAGTTCTCATTATTATGGAACAAAAGGAAAGAGAGAGAAAGAAAGAAAAAGAAAGAAAGGAAAAGAAAAGAGGAAGGAGGGAGAGAGAGATGGGGGGAGAGAGGAAGGAAGGAAGGAAAGGAGGAAGGAAAGAAGGAAGGAAAGGAGAGAAAGATACTAGAATAGTGTTCCGCACAAAGTTGGCACTCAGGAAATATTAAATGGATGAATGAATTACTCGAGAATCACATAATGAGAGAATGATTTTAAAGTACTTATTTGAAAACCATTTCATGTTACTTTAGCTCTCTTCAGTGTGCTTTATGAGCCATTCTTTAAGAAATAATAAATAACAGCATTCTGAGTGATGCACAGTTATTTGATGCTATTTCCCTGGCGATGACCTCTCCATTTGAACTACAAGCCAACAGTTGCAAAGCTCCTTTTACTCACCCTTTGGTGTGTAGATAGCTTCTTACATGCTGACTTCTAAATAGGTTTCTAGGATCAAATGAACGCTATTTCTTGTGTATACTTACACAATGGCTCAATTTCTGCCTAAGGCTATGAAAGTCTTCCACAAAGTGTATTTTCTTGCAATCTTGCAACTGGAGTTGACCAAAAACATCTTCCATGAAGAAGGACAGAAGCTGTTCTTGAAATTGGCAGTTTTTCTACAAATAAGATACAAGAAATTGCATATGGTAAATTATGAATCTTTTTTTAATGTCCCCCTGATCATTACTTAGTTACTCTCTGAAAAAAGCTAAAATGCAGCGGGAAATAAACATCAAATAAGTGGAAATGTTAAAAAAGAAAAAGACTTTCTGGCTTACCATAAATTGCTTTTTTGTGTTCTTTTTTAATAATCGTATATTTTTAATGCGGTCTTCCTACAATAAAACAAAAAGAAATAAGTTGTATCCAAGACTGTAAATGTCCTTGAGGTCATCATTTTAAGTAGAGCCTAATACTTACTGGAATCGTTGCTTTGAGCCATGCTGCTTTGATATAGAGAGCGTCAACAGCTTGGGACAGTGTCCCCCTTGGGTAACAACTTTTGCTGAAGGAAGATTGCCTGTGCTTGGCAATGGCAAGAGACAGAGTGACTAACAGCAGCCCACACCTCAAAATGCAATTCACCAGCATTTCCCTTCACTCCACTAAGCGTGTGTCACTCACAGCAGCCCAAGCGATACTAGTGCTGGTTAGATGAGAGGATAACCTACTTAACATAGCCCTCAAAGCCACCAGTCCAATGAGGTGCTGTGAAAGATAATTTACAGTTTGTATAGAGGAAGATCACTTTGGTTGTTCTATTTTTTTTTATTATTCTTTAGAGCTTGCTTCATAATCAAAAAACGCTGATCATACCAACAACTGACATGATTTAAAAGCTCAGGCTTACTGGTAAGACTGGGTTCTCATTTCCAAAAAAAATCAGAACTTCAGTTGCCTGTCACAGCGGCTTGCATTATTTTAAAAGCCACGTCAAGCCAATAAAACAGTATAATTTCCAGGGGGCTGTGTCATAATTTTTTAACCCCATGTGAAAAATCTCCTTTTCTAACCAGAATCCCAGAAAAATTTAACAAGGAGGTGGAAATGGGCAGCCCCAGGAACCCTGCTCATGACTCAGATGGGTTTTGTGTTTATCCCTTGCCGCACCCTTCACCCAGCCCGTCCTCTTCCATTATTCCACGGCTAGGAGCGAGAACGTTTCCAGTGCAGAAACAGTAACCCCTCTTAATATACTCCAGATTTGTTTGGAACTGGGCCTAGGACTAAGGTTCACAATGTCGTGAGTTATCTGTCTTTTCTGTCCAAATTTACCACTCAGACTTTCCTTGTAACCTTCAAATGCCAGAAGAGTGCAAATTTCTTGAAGAAAGAGACCAAATATTTTTACCTTTGAATCCAGCATCTACCACGACACCTCATCTAAAGAAGAAGTGCATCCATTATTAATTGAGTAAATACTTTTGTCACATTGTGAGATGCTACCATAACTGCTTTGTTTTTAAAATTTCTTCCATTCACATACTTTTATTAAAGACCTGCCTATACAAAAACCAGTGCTGGGTATGGGGGAGCCACCACGGTGGATTCTCCACGGACTCCCGTCTTCAGTTCTGTCCCAGTTCTTCCTAGGCAGTAAGTATGGCTCATTTTGGGCAGCAGCCCCAACATAAGGGGAGGGCAGCCCAGAGTCATATTCCAAGAAGCAGAGGTAGGTCATCAAAGCCTAGAATGAATAGAGTTAATGTGGTACCAGAGATAAGTCAACGCTAGAAATCCAGTTTTGAGTTAAGAGAGTCTTCGAAACTAGTTAGTCAATAGCAAGTATCAGAACCCAAGACTAGATTCCAAATCAAAGCAAGCAGGGCTTTCAAAAAAAGGAAGAAGAAAATGGGGAAATAAGAAAAATGCTTGGACTGTTTTCTGCTGTTTCAAAAACTGAATGGATCTCTTGGAAGAACCCAAGCCCCATTTCCCCAAGAGCAAGATTGCCGGTAGAGACACGCCCTGTCAATTGAGAGGAGAACTATTCACAAAAAAACTGTAACCGAAGTCAGCTGATTGGGAGTGCCAAGTGAAGTTCACCGGAATTTTATGAAATTCAGGAAAAGAAAGAAGCAGTTTCAGTTGGGAGTGGCTGAAAGGGTGTTTGAACAAGGACATGAAATACACAAAGGGATTTTTTTTTTTTTTTAAGCAGAGGAATGCCTAGTATTCAGAGTTCCTTTGGAAAGAAACGGTGTGAACATGGAGGGATCAAAAGCTCAAATGCCCTTAGAGGGCACAGGATTAATACAAACACGCTGGGTGGATAAATACAGGACAATTGTGGCTAAATATGCGTATATTGTCACCAATCCTAAAATCTGCCTAATTACATAGCCTATTAACACACTCTGTGGGTGCAGTAAAAGGATGACACAAAATACTTCCCAGAGCCATATACTACCTTGAGCAGCCAATTTGAGATCCCTGGTGTGTACCAACAAAACCTGTGGCTAATATTGATAACTCGAGTGGCTAATATTGATAAATTAAGTTGATATGGGTTCTGGCTGACTTTTAACTTCTAGTAGTTGCATTTCCATAAGTATCTTATATCCTTCAAATCATCATTACAAAAGGAAAATCCACATATATTCCTAGAATCCCTCTGCTTTGGTTTACAGCCAACTCAAGGAAACTGTGGCCATTTCTTTATGAATGATCGTATCACCCATTGGATCATAGTCCTCCTCCATTTTAGTCAGCAAACCTGCCTCATTAGGGTCCTTGGATAAGCAGGAAAATCTGACCTCAAAGGATAGACAGTGCCTACTAAAAAGGATGTTCAAAACATGGGTCCTGAAGAGAGTTCCAAAGAGGAGTCCCTAAAGTGTCCTAAATAACAGAAGAGCCATTAGAATAAATGCATAATATTCTAAAAGCCCCAATTTAAAAGATAGTTTCTGCTTCACTGAATATATATTTATCACTTTCATGAATATCTTATACAGAAGGTATAAAACTTGCTATTAATTACAAAGAGGTTGGGTTTTGAAATTGATTCACTGTGATTCTGTATGGCCTTGAAAAAGTTATTAGTCCTCTCTAAGCTTCCATTTTTGTCTTCATTAAAATGGAGCAGTTACAATACTTCAGAGGGTTGTCATGAGCAATAGAGTATATTACAATACAGTAATATAAATAGAATGTCTAGCACAATGACAGTCGTAGAGGCACTCTGGAAGTGGTGGCTACTGATTTATTATTTATGGAATAATAAATAATAAATGCATGTGTAATACTCTGAATAATGTCAAAGTTCATCATGAACCTTCAGGAGCTTTCAGAAATGGTTGAAGAAAGTGAGAAAAGTGAAGGAAATGCAACGATCTGACAATAGGTCCAAAAAATACACAGGCACGAGAAATTTAATTAATCCCACACATCCAGAGGGTGAACTTGGACCATTAAGTGGATATTTTAGGGAGGCCATTCTTATGTGATGTACAGGAGAACATTCAAACAACTGATCTGCCCCAAAACATAATTGACTGCCCCGATTTCCAAATGCCAGCATGGTGGTCATTTTCCTTAAAATTTAAGCCTTCTCCCACCCAAAAGAATGAATGCCAGCTGCTCTCTCTGATGGCCCAGCATAGCACCTGAACAAAATCAGCTCACCAACTCCTGTGAAGAATCACAGCTCACTTCAAGTCTTCAGTGACACTGCTTTTTATCTGCTTTCCTTCTATGGGGAGAAAACAACTAATTGAATTCCTAAATTACTAACTTACTTAATTGACACTGAAACACATTTTTTTTTTACATTTTAATGTCTCTTAAATGACAGTGTGCATTTTAATCCACAGTCATCCCCGCCTGTGCAGTCTGAACTTGATCACGACCACTAATGATGACATCACTTCACTTGAACTATGTGCCTGGTTGTTACAACAGGTGTTTAATTGCTACTTAAAATATCTTCAGAAAGATTATGATTCTGAATTAAAACAAATGTTAATATGTTCATAGAAAGACACAGAATAGCAGTGGGGCACAAATTTGATATTAGAAAAGTAAATATTTGTTTTTGGAGAAATGACCAAAATTACATATTTACTTGAAAAGCGAATATCAAGTGTTAAATCTTAAGAAAGAATTGCATTGTAGTTTAATCAGTAGCACTTTTTCCTTTATAGTGGTAAACAAAGTAGTGGTGCAATTTCCAATGTACAACATCTTACATTGGTTGAAATACGTTATTTAATGATCTTGGTGATTGGCATAATTTCTTAGGATCCTAAATTCTAAAATCAATGCAGCTGTGCATAAGAAGTACATGGATCTCTTTTTCTATAATCATACTTCAAAAACTGAAATTAAATATATTCTTTCCAGAACAGAGCCAGAGGATAGATAAGAAACAGTTATAGATAGAGAGATAAATATGTTTGATGTAATGATACTGTGCTTTTGTCTCTCCAGAAAAGATAGGCCCCACTACATTGGACAATGGTAAACCTGGTAATCAACAGGACGATAAACCTGTTTACCATTGTGATGAGAAGAGGTTAGAGAAGGAATGCGGAGTGTTGTAAATGGACTGGAGAGGAAGGAAAGGAGACATGGAAGCTGGATTAGTGGAGGAGTATGAAGGGGAGAAGCACATGAACATTTCCTGAGAGCCTTGGTCTGTGTGGCCCTCGGCTAGGTGACTTGTACTCCGCAGGTTTGCACCTGTCATCAACACAACCATTCATCAAATACGTATTGAGTATTCATTACCTTCCAGGCTGTACTAGGGCCAAGGATGCATTAATAAACAAAACACACAAAATTCTTAATTTCATAAAACATTCTAGTGGAGGTAGGGGGAGGAAGAGGCAGACAATAAATAAACATAATATATGTACGTTATATGCCTTACAAGTACATTATGGACAGTCGGAAAATAATAGATGTTTTGAAAAAAATAGAGTAGAGTAAGGGCGGTGGAGGTGCTGAGATAGGAGACGATTGTAAGCAGGATGCTCATACAAGGCCTCAATGCAAAGGGAACATTCAAGCAACATCACAAATGGAGTAAGGGAGTGAGCAATGGAGTTACCTGTTTCAGCCAAAAGCAACTGTCACTGCAATAGGCTTAGGGAAACAGCATGCCCAGCAGGTTTGCTGTAGTTAGAAAGATTGTGTGGGCATTCTAGAGGATGGCGGGGGATGGGAGGATGTCAGGTCAGGGGAGAAATGGATGGAGATCATGCAGAGGCTTTTAGGCTATTGGTAGGACTTCAGCTTCTACTCTGTGTTATATGGAAATTTTGAGTAGAGGAGTTCTATCATTTGACTTACATTCTTTAAGAAGAAAATAGTACTCAAACATCTGTTAATGAATGGATGAATAAACCAGTTGTGGTATATATATATACAATGGAAGATTATTCAACTATTTTTTTAATGAAGTACTGAGACAGGCTACAACCTGGATAAATCTTGAACAGCATGCTAAGTGAAGAACACTAGCTTCAACGGGTCACACATTGTGTGATTCCACTTATATGAAATATCCAGAGTAACTGAGTACACAGAGACAGAAAACAGAAAGATGGTTGTCCATGTGGGAGGAGTGCAGAATGGAGAGTAACTGC